TTTTGTGGCGAGGGCCTCAAATAAACAAGGTAATTCACTAGCAGCTGGTCTTGATTCTTCCATCTTAAATAATATTGCAGTATTGAAATATAAAAAATATATAAAAAGTGCATGTAAATTTGCAAATTATGCTTAAAAGAACAAAAAAAATGAAAACTTCTTTGAATTATATCTTCTTATATCTTATGAATTTTGCAGTGATTCTCAGTGATCCTTGGGGTTTATATTCAGAAGAATTTGTTTCGACTTTTATATATGAAATTTATTAAAAAAATTTTTTGTTTAACATATACAGAAGTATCACGTTAGACCATTTGTAATATATATGAATTGATCGACAAAAGGGGTTCTAATTTTTCTAGAATCGATCTCCAAATTTAGCATATTCCCTGACTGCAGTACCTGGACAAAAGTATTGGAACACTTGCTTTTGTTGATTGCGTAAAAATATACATAATAAACATGTATGAAATTTATATCATTTGCGATTTAGGTTCTTGTGAATATCTATGCAAAATCCCATACATTTAAGTTTTGCAGAACTCAAATAAATATATAAAAATGAAATTTGATTAAAATTTTCTTTGACGATCACTAAATCTCTGATGTGAAATTTTTTATTTTATTCTCAAATTCTATGTAATAATTTTTAATTTAAAATTTTAACTATTTTTAATGTTTAGTTGGGTATCCTTTGCTCTTTATACAAGCCTGAATTCTACTAGGCATGCTTTCAATCAAATTCATTAAAAAAATTTGAGGAATTTTATTCCATTCCTCTTTTAAAGTAGCCTCAAGTTTAAGATTTCTTAGATTGTTGGATGACTTCTAATACAGTATACTGTTGTGGTAGGAAGCCAAGTATTTTAGAAATAATTTTATATGAGGCTCCACTTTTATAAAGGCCAACTATTTGTCCATGTTGAGCTTCAGTTAAATTAGACTTTTTTTTTTTTGAAATTTAAAATTTTGAAAGCTTTTTAGCATAGTGGAAATTCTATTTTGATCAACATTTGCAATAGTCACATTTACATTTTAGTAGAAGATCTTCGTGTTACATACATAATAAAATTCGTTTGAATATAACTTTAAATTAAAGAGTTTTTTATGTATTTTTCTTTTTTGCATGATGTACAAACATATGTATTCGAATTTATTTATTTAAATTTTGTGGTCTTACATATCCTTTGATACATAATAGTAAAGCTTTATATTAATATAATACTTATTGAAGAAATAAAATATGCATATTTGTATATACAATTTACCCTCTCTATAATGAACACTAAGTAAATCTCTATATATAACAAACTTAACTTTTTTATATAATAGTAATTAATTTCTCCTTATAATCTTAGTAAACACAAATAAAAAGTAGATGGATTTTTATTAATAGTTTCTCGCTTGCTACAGTTCACTCTCTCTATAATGAACCTTCCATAAAATAAACAAATAAATTTTCAATAATACACTAAATAAAGCAAACATACATACATAGTCAAATAAAAGCCAATGTAAAGATCCATATCAATAAGAAAGTTCTGGAAGAATTAAAGTTATATGCTCTATATGTAATTTGAACCTTTTATGCATTTTCATGGAGTGTGGTCCTAATACCTTCAAATATCACTAATATGCGTGTATCTTTTCCTACACTTTTATACATTTCTTTAATGAAAGAGTAAGGTATATACAACTTTTATTTTCTTTAAAAAAAAAGAGATATATATGTATTAATATGCTCTTCTTATAATTTTAAAAAAAAGATATATATATGTATTAATATGCTTTTCTTATAATTAATATATATATATTAATAATAAAAAATAGTAAAATAAACTAACTTTAATAATAGTAATTTATTCTCTACGAAGGTTGTAATTTTGATCTTAAAGTTGGAACAAAAGAAAATAGATTTGAAAAAGAAGAAATGAATTAGTAAATGAATGAAAAACATTCTTAGTTTTTATATTCATATTTCATATATGTTGCTTGTTCTTATATATCATATCATTCATATATTTTATAATAAATTTTATCTAATATACCTTATATATTTATATTGAATTCTGTTTATTTGACTAAAAATTATACAATTTTTTGCTTCATATGTAACCTTTAGATTGATTTGCATCCAAACATATCCCAAATCTTTAAATGAAAGTGCGTAAAGAAAAGATAATAACTGCATAATTTTTTAAAAAAATAGTTGTTTAATGAATGGTGTTACCCATAACAACACCTGACGTATTTTGAGTACTTTAAACAATTATGAATTTACGTCGTGCAACATAAATTAAATTTATCACAGTGATCATCAAATTGTGACATAAATAGAATTTCCACTATGCTACGCATCGATCAACAAACTTTTTTTCTTTTTTTTGTTCTTGTTACAATGCCACAAAAGAAAGATTCAAATAAAAGAAGCAAAACTGAAGTTCGCGAGGAATATTTTGATCAAGTGTTTTAAGGATGGTGGTGGTGGTGGTTATTGCCCACCACTCGTCGTCATTCTAGTTATTTTTAAAAATGATGATTGTGGTTATTGTTGTTAAAATAAAAATTTTTGTTATTCCATATTATTCATTTTCTTCTTATATATATATATCCAACCAAAAAACTTAAAAAAGAAAATGTGATGTCGATAAAGAAAATTTGGAAATAAATGAAGGTTAAGATAACAACAACAATATAAAATCGGTGGAGTTGGAAGAGTTAGAGCTTAATAATGAGATAGTTATTGGAGAAAATGAAATTTCAGATTTTTATCCGTTAAATGATGTAGAATCAACTATCAATGAGGCAGAACCCAGTAGTGAGTCTCTCGTACAAAAATATCCAAATGTAGATAGCCCGAAAGATAATTGGCTTTTACCTTCAGGAAGATTGATAAGAAATATAATTTATGGGCCAAAGAATTTTCACAAATCGCAGTAAGTTGCAGATTTATATTTTCTTTTATCTCATCTTCCAATTTCACATATACAATTGTTATTTGTTTATATCTTTAGTCCATCACATTTTGGAATAATACGTATTGGTGTCAATGTTCGTAAGCCCGAATGGATAGAGGATGAAGATTGGATCTATTTGAATTCAACTGTTGAATTCCCACGCTTTAAATTATCTTCTAACACAGAAGAATTACTAATTTTACTTTTAAAGACCGTAAGTGTAATCAATATTGTTATTATTATTTTTTTAATAAAATTTTATTAACAAATGTTAATGATAGGACTCTTTAACCGAATATAAGAAAACCATTCGTGAAGCAAAATACAAAAATGATATCGATCCTGAAATGGAATTTATTACGGATGTTCTTTGGTGGTTGTAAGTGTTCTAACAACAATTCATTAAATTAATCTCTGATTTTTTTATTTATTTATTATTTATTGATTAATTTTTATTTATTTATTATTTATTGATTAATTTTGATCAATTTTGAAGTGCAAATAATGTATTTAATACTATACATGTCACTAAAATTATTGAATTGCGTCAGACGCAATTAAAAATCTGTAAAATTGCGTCTTGCATCACTCATCATAATTTTTATGACTGACTCAAGACGCAATCCGTGATCGTTTTTTTTTTATTTTTTAATATTAACATGTTTCCAAAAGTTACTTTAAGCATCTCGGGAAACATAAGATACATTCGTATAATATGTATTTTATTAATTATTTATTTATTGTAATTTTATATAATATACGAATGTAATTATTGATTGTTAGAAGTAATTTGACTTCTAGGATTGTATTTGCGAAATTGAACGTAAAATTCGTAAAAACTGTTATAATTTGATAACAGCGAAAATTAAATTATTACAACGCTATTGTAAGACAGTGCATATCAGTCATACGTGATGTCACAATGAGTGATTTTGTTATAGCGATCGACATAGTACTTTTCCGTACAACAGACTTTAAAACCAAAAATGAACGAAAAAGCATGATCAAACATCCTTCATGTCTCTATGTAAACATATTTTCATAGTTTCGCTCTTTCAATCACAATCTTTTATACTTCATTAGCTTTTTTCGTTCAAGAGAAATAATTATTCGAAAAGGCACATACTTTTTGTCTTCGGAACCACCATCCTTTTCAGGGAGAAGACTCATTGGGATCTTTTTAACATTAACAGGTAGAGTATAATATTAGCTTTTGAAAATATATATTTATTAGGCATTTTATTTTTTTGGGGAAGATATTAAAAGCAAAAAACGATATACATTATTATTTATTAATTTTATTTAAATATTTTAAATTAATTAAATATTTATGATTCTCCGGCATTTTTAGATTTTTTTTTAACGTGGTAATACCAGTAGTCTCTTACTTTTTTGTTAGTCCATGAACCATTTACTTTAACCAATTCTTCATTTATTCTCATACAAACTTCTTTTGGCAAATCTGTG